CCATCATGCAGTTTTTTACATCATTTGCCATTGTAAGTGATGGTAGAGAACAACTCCCAGAATAAATTTTCACGGAAAAACATTTTTCTCATCAAATAATATTATGGTTGAATGAATAAACTCAATGCATGAAAAATTGTTTGTGATAAAATCGCTTTGAAAACTGAATTTATTGTATTGATAATTATTGCAATCTTGAAAGATGTACTTTTATTCAAGTCAAAGTTGTAAAAAATTCAATGGTGAATGATGCATTCTTAAATGCAGTCGAGCGGGAAAGTTTTGACTGTTATCATGCTCCTCAGAAAATGCAATCCAAGCACTTTTCAAATGATAAATCATCGAAGCCCAGCTTTGATTATCATTTCTGCGAGCAAAAATCATTCAATTTGAGAATTTATACAATTAACTTTTGTTTATTTATCGCTTCTGTCTGATTAATGTGATTTAATGCAATCACCAACAACAAAAATTCATCGCATTGAATTATAATGCAAACAAATCTACCAAAAGTGATAATACGATGATGAACACCATATATTGGCGATTTTCCAAAATAACAACGATTACACGAATCATAAAATCGAAATTGATAAACTATTTTTGTATGTATTCTCAATCACTGTTTAATATTGAGCGTCATTTTATTGAATCGGAAAATGAAAGTGAATTCATAAATTCTTTACCCTTTATTCTTAATTGGCCGCAACGATATCTAAAAAAACAACCTTACTTCACAGTATTTTTTTTGAAATTTATTTGCTAGTACGTAAATGTTAAGTTACAATTTAATATCTATGGAATACATCGATTGGAGAGTATGCTATTCAGCACTTATAGCTGAGTAAAATGCTTACCTATCACAAAATTCCTTCAGCAAATACAAACGGTAGATCCCGATTTAAGCTAGATAATATTGTGTAATTTGTAAAATGTACGAAACAAACGAATACGAATAAGAGTTTGTTTCATCAGAATTTAAAAGAAAACACACTTTGACGTTTTTTGGATTGATTTTTTGATGTTGTTTTATTTATTTATTTTTTAATCAACAGAACTAAATGATCCATAATAATATAGATATTTTTTATAATATATATTTTTTTATTGTTTGTATCGCACAATAATATGGCCAATTTCAAAAAAGAGGCGGTTTTGTGTTATCAGTAAATAGAGTAGTAATAGTAGTCGAAGCTCTGAGCTGAAATCCGAGAATATACTAATTCACTTTGGACTTTCTCTTATATTCTCTTCAATTTCTCAATCATTTCGAAATGATTCCATTATTATTTTGTCCAACACATTGGTGTTGCAAGTGGTGACATTGAATTCATTTCTATTCTTCTGGAAAGCTTAGTATTTGTTTTTTTCTCATTTGATTTGGATAAAAATAGTTTTATTTTGTTTAGATAAAATTGATTTGCGTTGCATTTTTTAAGCAATTTGGTAGTATATGATATGTTAAGAGATATTTTAAGGTTACCTCCCAAGTAAACAACACCTAGATAAATGTTATTTTTTTTTATTTATTCATGTGGGCCTCCTCTGAAAACTATAAATCAAAAATTTAAGCACCGTATGTTGATCGATATATATATTTTTTTTAAATTAATTAGTTTTATTTTAGAAAAAAGATGGGGAGCATTTTTTTCGTGTATCGAAACATTTAATTAAAAGAAACTGTAAAAATGTATTGCTTGCGCTTCTACACGTAATTTATCGTAATATACATTCATGTCAAAATAATGCAGTTTATGCAATCATTCTTTCAAGCTATTTCGTGTTCAGAAACTCTGATACTGCGACATTCATCAATTTTATCCGCCAACAAAAAAATGAAACCATATTGAGCCCAGTTCGGATTGACTCATTAACGACTCATTTGTTTCCAATTTTTCATACCATTCCAAAGAGTTGAACAATTCCACATTTTACGTAATAAATCGAGAAATATACATATAAAATAAAATTGTGCACAAAGTCGTTGTTGATTCTGTTAATTATTATGGACCTTTATTTTTGATTTGCGATTTTTAAGTACATATGTCCATTTTAAATCTTTAATAAAAGGTAGTGGTTTTAAACTAAAAAAAAAATCAATTAAAATTATAAACTCTCTTTTCGCTTTCTCAGATTACTACCATGCACATTTACCTTTCGCAAAGGGAAACATTTTATTTTCTTCAGTGAATCACTTGGGATTCTCTTTATTCATTTCTCTCATTTTTACTCATTTTTTTGTTGAAAAAAAAAATCATCTTCTTTTTATGTCTTCCCTTCAGCGGCAAAGGCATTTGTTTCCGTTCGGTTTTAAATCCGTAAAATTTTGAACTTAACTTAAAGTGAAATTATAAATATTTACAAAATTGTGCCATTATTAAACGGAACTGCCGAAATTCTGAGAAAACTGATCAAATAAAAACGAAATTCAATTCTACTACTCAAGAAAACTAAAATTAAAATTAAACAAATTCCGAAAATTCATCGACTCATCAAAGAATATATGCAATTTTTCTCATGGTTTGAGCACATTTATTTCGCTGTTATTTTTCTTATCAAAAAATTAACCGATAAATGCTGTTAAGTTGCCAATGATAAAACTCTCTCTGTTCATTCTCTCTTTATTTACAAAAAACACAAATCTTTATAGAATTGCACAAATTTTTAAATGTAAAAAATATGTTTGTTCAAGCGAAATAGAATTTTTCGTGATACGTAAAGATGTAATAATTATATTATCATAAGTAATTTAAAAAAAATGACAAATCGTGAATTTTGTAATACTCAGATGCCAATTTGCATCGTACCATTCATCGACTAGGACATTTTCTTCTCCTCTTGAACACTTTCCAATTCGAAACTTAGCAAAGAACTCATTCATTGTCGGTTGCATAGCTGCTGCGATGTTCTGTACACATGTGGAACTGAAATTCAATTCAACCAATTCGACAACAACAAAAAATGTTCATAATAATAATGTATAATAAAACAACAGATACAGTGGCAGCTTTCAGCTGGAAATATACTTAATGGAGATCACTCGAAACGCGTCAGATGCAAACAATTTGACAGAAATACATTACAAAGGAATTGAATGCGGATTTTTTTTTTAAAGTTTAGCTAATACATTTTTGTTGACGGAGACTTAGTGAGCGTCTACAAATACATTTCGCACACTAAAACTAACAACAGGGACTGTTTCTCAGAGAAGGAGGAATGGTGAGGTGGAGAAGAGCACCGAGAAGGCTTCATTTTCCTGCACACCATTCCTGCTCCGCAGATCCCCGAAAACTAAGTACAAGTAGAAATTTGAGTGTATGTGTGTCTCTATGAGTGCCACTTTTAAGAAGATGTGCTCGAGTGCTTGAAATTTGATTAGAAAAATGTCGTGTTCGGTTTTTCTCTTTAAGTTGGTCATTTGAGTGAAAAATGAAAATGTAGAAAAAATTGTGTTTTTTTAGTGTGTATGTGCCTTTCTTCTGATATGTTAGTTAAGATCGCCGAAATTTCTTCGCGATCAATCACAATGTTCAGGAAATATTGAGTGCGAAAAATGTCGTGCCAAAAGATCTTCTTTTTTTTCATTGAAAATAAATAAAATAAAAACAAATAATCACACTAGTTGAATATATATGCTTTTCGTAAGTAATTTTCAGTAAATTTTTTTATGTACTTCAATCAGTCTCGAGCGACAGTTTTTTTTTGTTACAACGATCTCTTTTTTTGTCGACTATTTTGTTCATTCTCCTTTTTTCACTCGCATTCTGCTTTTCTCTTCGTTCATCAAGACAATAAATTTTGTGCAATATTCACGTTTGTTCTGTATGTTGGTGATTTGAATTCACTCTTTCAATGTATGATTATTTAACTGTTTGTGGTTATGCTGCGGTTCATTTACTAGATATTCTAAATATAAGTATAATCTTATTTGAGAAATGTAACATTTTTATTGTGTGTGTATTGTTCTTAATCATCTTGTTCATGCATAACATTGCAATTTGTTCGGAACGAAAGAGCAAACCGATTATTAAAAAGAGACAATTTGCATAAATATGTTCGATATATCTCATAAACACAATTAAGTAAGTATATATTTAAGTTTTAATAGTTGTTTTGAATTCGATAATAGAATGATATTATTATTTTTTTGTTCAAAAAATGTTTTGCGATTATGAAATTATATATTATCTGATGGCGTTTTTTTTTTTGAGTGCTTGCATGCCATTGAGTTTTTCTCCATTTTTGACTATCTTTTCTTTGATTTACGCGCACACGTACAACAAAGCTGCTAAATAGCAAATATGATTTTGTTTTAAAGTCTATATTGATAAGTATATAATATAATAGTTAATTTTGTTTTAACAATTAAAGCACCATTTAATGCATACCAGCTTGCACATCATTTCTTTTTTTTAAAAAAAAATTTGAGTTTTAGCTATGCGTCAATTTAGTTTTGTTGTTTGATAATTTTTCATGTTTAATAAATGTCGTTTTAAAGTTCCAAATCGAGTTGTTTCATTGGCGATATGAATGGATTTGTGTGTGTGATGATGGGTTGTTCGGTGGCCGCTGGTATATCGGCAACCCATTCAGCATCGAATGGATCGCTGCCGCTGGTCAATGATTTTGCACGTGAATGTAATGATGGTGGTCGTTTAGCTGCCGGCGATGCATTTTTAACAATTTGACCCAACCATTGTTCGGCCTTTGGAAGTTGACTATTATTCGGTGTTATAATCGATGTTGCAATCGTTGCACTAAATTCATTGCATTTATTATTTTCATCAATGGTTGACTGTAATTGATGGATTGTTTGTGATGGTAATGCACCCGATACGCTGGCTCGATGACGCGTTGATGCAATTGTTGGTGTAACAGCATATGAGATTGGCATGTTATTGAATGTATTATTGACATTGGTGGCATTGGCTATTGATGATGATGTAATCGATGTTGTTGTACCGTCCATTGGAATGTAAGGGCTCGTTGTCATCGGTTTGACAATATTTTTGAGTGGTGATGGTGTCACATCAATTGGACTGATGGCAGCTATCTTTGAAATGGCATCCGCTGATATAGTGCTTGGCAATACATAATCATCAGATGCAACCGATGCTGTTGGTGCTGTGGAAATCGTTTGTAAGTTGAAGTTCAATTCATCACCATTATCGTTTCGTGTAAGCATTGACAAACCTTGACTGAGCTCCTTGCATAATGCGCTAACCACATCAATTTCCGGTGTTTGGGTTTGTGTGGTTGTTACTTCGGGTATTGGTGAAACGGATCGAATTTTATGGCCATTGGTAAGCGGTTCCAAAAACGATTTTTGACGCTCAGCATTGGACGGAAGATCACTTAAACGCAATGACATTTGACGTTTGAACGGTGATTGACTGTTTAGACTGCTTAAACCACGAAAACTACCTTGACGCTCAAGCATTGATGGTGTTGCATGCGGACGTTCAATTGCATATGGATTATATTGTTTTGGTTGTGGTGCAACAATGGCGGCCAATGATTTTTTACCACCAATATCAATGCCACGTTCATTATGCAAACGTTCGGTTAACGTTGTTTGACGAAATGAACCGTTTCGGGTAAATGTTGATGTATTTTTATCGAATGTCATTGTTACACTGCATTCAGTGTCACGACGTTGTTTTCGCTCTAAACAAACAGTAAATGCACAGCCAACCGCATGAGATAAACGTTCACCCGAATCTTTTGTTGCTAAAAAACCATGGCACATCCAACGTCGTGTCGTACCATCACGGCATATATAACTGAAACCACGCTCATGATTACGATCCGGTGCACAGAAGCTCACTTTTTCAATTGTTTGATCAACAATTAAACTTTTTGTATCATCCTCAACGAAACGCAATCCATCACCGCTCACGTGCAACGCACCACGCGTTGGAGGACGTCGACGTGATGTCTAATTGAGAAATATAAAAAAAAAAATTAAAAAAAAAATTTGTTGATAAGAAAAGCGTAAAATATAACTCACTTTCAATACTTTTAACGCCTCTTCACAGATATGCATTCCACGTGATTCATATACTTCAACACAGCCTAAGTACTTAACCGGAAACGAACAGGTCGAGGAACGTACGGCCTGCTCATCAGTTGGCCATTGTAATGGTTTCGATGATTCTGGCACACGATCCTTTCGACGACGAAACGAATCACGAAATGAACGACGTAAACGGTCCATCTTTTTTGGCGATCTTTTACTAAATCGAAACGATGCAAATCTCTGGATTTTTTTTATTAAGAAAAAAAAAAATGAAATAACATTTTAGAATTTTTTTACATTTAGAATGGAAATCAAACAGTGTATATGAATTGCAACGATTCAAGTTCAACGACCCAAACTGTCATTGTCTAGTTATATATATAAAAAATGTGGTTTGTTGTGTTAGTGAATTGCTATTTATTAATAGATTAAGATAAAGTGAATTGAAAACATCAAATATCTGGGTGTTCAAATACAAATTGGTTTGAACGATGGTAATTCCGACAAAGTTTTAATCATCATAAGTGAGGCTCTTGACTCTTGATGCGACGTAAGACTCTTTTTATAATAAGAAAAATATCAAAACCAAAAAATAAAATGCCCAAAAATGGACTTAAAGCAAAATAAAAAACGAAAAACAATCAAATCACAATAAAAACCCAAATTAATTCAATAAAAAATGAAATAAATGTGAAAGGGTGGTCAAATTGATAAACCGAAAAAAAAACGCGCAAAATGAAAAAAAAAAAATTAAAAGAAACAAACCGAATTTTTAATGTCTCCAAATCGATCTCTGGTGAATCCACGTTCCAGTGGTTCGTGTGTATGTGACGATGTATTGCCCATTGTTATTGTTTTCTCTTATCTATGTGGCCTAATATACTTAATGATAAATCCGTTTTAGGTTTGCTTTTTACACGAAATGTGTCTCCTCACAAATTGTTTTTTTTTCTTCTCTCTTTTGCTTTCTTTGTCGTCCAAAATGAAATAATTGATGTTAAACGAAAATAGAGCGAAGGTAATGTGTTCACTGTAAATGGAGCGTAGGTAGATCGGCTGTCGCCAATGTGATTTCGTGTAAATGCACGATTTCAATATGATTCATCAAATCTATTTGTGTTATCAATTCTCGTGTAGCTTCTTATTCATTAGCCGCTAGTCGAAAAAAAAATTCCATAAACTTGTGTCGCTTTTCGTCACCGATTTTTGACTTTTTACTTAGAGTTTGGGTCGGTTCGTTTTTGCGTTGATAGCTCACGATGCGTATGATTATTCAAGGCAATTTTGTTAAATTAGTTTATGTCGTGCAAAAAATCTCGATGCTAAAGAAAAACAAAATAAAAAAGAAAACTAATAAATAAAAATGAAAGCAAATCAATAAAAAAAATAAGTAATTAAGATGTTCTCGGCGTTATTATTTGCGTGTTATGTTTGGAAATGCGTTTTTTTTTGTGGTTGGCAAGTAAACAAATGTTGATATTAATGTTGATCGCCGTACTGATTTCAGGCAGCTCATTGCAAATGTGACAACATAAATGTGATTTGTCTGCCGAATTGTAACGGAAATATGATTATCATCGTGCGATAAGGCTAATTGAACTGTAATATTACTAAACACACAAACTCATCACGTTAATTGCATAATTCAATTTTAATTCTGTATGCGTTGGTGTATTCGTTTTCATATTTATATAATTCTGTAACTACCGGAACAAATCGATTGGCTTCGTATTCATAATTTTCGGCAATAAAATTTTAATTTCGAAAAACCGATTGACAAATAAACGAAAACCAAACATTTCGTACTCAAATTGTGGAGCGCAGCTGACAAACGTGACCTTGATTCCCAAATTCCAACTTAGATTCACACTATATGTATCTAACAGTTATTTACATAAATTGATATAATAAATAATTGAACAATGCAGTGCACAACATGCATTTGGGTCAAAGTCTTTGACTCAAAGACAATCAACACACAATACTGTGTGACACACAGCTGATGATGTTAATTTTATATGTAATGGATATGTATATTTATAATTGGTCTTGAACAAAGAACTTTAATTTGTATCGAACCTCAACGACGCATATTTTGTATGTGTGTGCATTTGACATTTTATCATAATCGATTTGTGTACAATCAACGCCACATTGGAATTGTAGTCGAGACAGACAAACGAATCAATACGAATATGCAAATGGATTTTTTTTGTTGTAAAATCATGTTTCAGTTTCAACTTTTAGTGTTTCAAACGTTGAACTATTACGACTGATGTTAAATAGCTGGAAGGTGTTTTGTTTTATCGGAAACTTTTTCTCTCTCATTCTCTTTCTCTCTTTCTTTCCATCTCCTCCAAAAGTCACGAATCGCCGTAAAAGGTAATCAAGATATATATGTTGCGTACAAATTGAATTTTCAATTTAAAAACTAACTGTAAACATCGACGATGAAAATGTATATTGATCCACGCATTTTAATATAACAAGCCAAAGAGAAAGAGTGCTAACAAATGCCGGATTTATCCATTCTATTCGTGGAACCGATTTAAATTTCATGAATCATCCTTGTACATTTGTATAATATGATTAACACACAGCATGTGTTTAATTCACATACCGAATCATGGAAGCACCTTTAAATATTGAACACTTTAACTTCATACAACAGACAACAATCACTATTGAACCGTCGAGATTGAACTTGAAATTATACACGATTCGATGGCATGAGTCATCGTAGTTTGTAATACGGCCGCTATATGATTATTACTCATACAAGCTAACATACAAGTCTTCACCGAAAGAAAAACGCTAAGCCCCAATATCGTGTCGAAGAGAGAGATTATTTGTTATGGAAGAAACGAAAAAGTTTGATTTTACAAAAAAGGTGTGTTTGTTAAACGTGTATATTTGGCCGAAAAAGTTAATTTTGTTGCTTCAACTCAGAATATACGAAGAATCTGTTGATTTATTGACCAATAAAAATGGCCGAGAGTTGTTTGTTTTGCATACTTTGAAGAAAGAGAGAGAACAGCAACTGGCACGAAAACAAATATCGATTGCAAAAAGTAAAAGTCTCACTCACGATCGCATTTCATGTTTCTTGAAAAAGTAAACCAAGCTGATACATGTAGTGCGTAGCACGTTCGATACTAGATAAGATGATGTTGATGAATGCGTGCAATCGGAGAAGAAACCAAAAGCATCACCAATTGAAACCAAATATATGTGCCTCGTAACATTTTTTTATTTATAGACGTTAAATTTATTTGTACTGTCCATCGAGACGTTTTTGCTTGCGGCTTTTCATCATTTCCAATACAATTTTTTTTCATCGTGTATCACATCATTTTTTGTTCTTCTCTGTGATAACCACAAGAGAAAGGCAATTCTGTTTGATGCCAGAGATGAAAATGAAACAAAATGCTACTGCGAGTAATTTGAGCATGGCACGTAAAACCGCTCAATAATAATAACTCATTGAAGATTATTAAGTTTTTGACGATGACAATATTTTTTTTTTCGTAAAATGGTTGAAGGAAGACAAAGTTGTGAAAATATATATATGTTCAGCAAAAGCATGTAATAAATTCAAGAACCGGATTTACATGATTGTTAAATTTGTGAATGCACAAAAGTTAATAATAATTGGAAGAGAGCTCTCGGAATTCTTTGAGTTTTTTGTGCAAAAGTGATTATATACGTGTTTGACTTCGTCTATCGTGTTCGATTACTCGAGGTAATTTAGAAGAGGAAACAGCTCATTGAGCAGCAAATTTAATGACTGAAAGTAGTTTCGTTTGAGTATGAACAGAAACACCCTATCTTTTTCCAATTAGAATAAGTGAATTCCCCTTGTAGTTTTTTAAGCACCCATTCTTCCGATTACGGCGACAATTATTTTTCACACCAAAAATGGATGAGTTTAAGGTTTGTTTTTTTTTTTAAGCTCAATAAAATTTGTTGGGATTTTCCATTTTTCCGGTGGAATTTAACAAGATGCACTTCACCTACTTTTGTTCTTTCAATATCAAATTACAAACCATTTTATTGGAACGCTGCCATCGAACGGAAACAAGAATAAAGTACCGAATTTCCGAAAATGCTCACGAACCTTCGGATTATACGTTATGTATTTTGCTTTATTTGGTTTTTTGTTCTCATATAATTCATGCATTTCTCAAACGTATTTTTCTTAAAAATAATTCCGTAATCACATTTAAAATATAGCATTCTTTGCAACAAATTGTTCGATTGTTGGCGGTTGGTTGTAATAAGTTGTTGTTGTCTTCCTACTCGGTTGTATGTTTTCAGTTTAAGTAGTAATTTAACGTTTTTGTTCACTCTCATATTCATTTCAATTACTAGTTTATGTAAATGTTCGTGAGAAAATTTATGAATTGTAACATAAAATAACAAAACACACATATCAAATACCTGAAGTGACTCATAAATAAAAATGTGATGCGGAAAGAGAGAGAGAGAGAGAGAGAGAGAGAGAGAGAGAGAAGGAGAGAGATAGAGGGAAAGCGTAATCGAGTGAACAGCGGTGCGAAGTGCAGGGGAATTTCAAATGGACAGAGATCATTTCAGTTCAATTTGTTGTAGTAAAAGGGAAGCGAGAGAGACTGAGAGAAGGAATTTTTGTTCTGATCGAGGTATTATAAATTGTTGTGAGCATCTCATTTATAATATATTCATTGATGGGATATTAGTTTTTTTTTCCTTCCTTTTTGTCACAACCAAACACTCTTCGCATAGAATTGATCTAGTTTACAATGTGTACGATACTTCAATTTTCCTGTTTTACCATCAGTGTGTTAAAACAATGGTACATTCGGCGCTTCGTCATTGAGTATGCAGCCAGACTGGCTATAGTGAAAAAAATATGAATCGTCCACATGAACAGCATACGGACAGATGGTAAAATTCTTCGATTGAAAGACAAGCTGCCAGTAGCACCGCATCCTATTTTAACGCCACATACATCCTCTAACACAAACAGCACCGTACACATTGTTGGCATGGCCATTTTTTTTTCTCTTTGGCATGTGTTTTCGTTTTTGTTTACTTTCCAGCCAATTTCCGTACAACATTCCGTATGCGATGCCGATATGTTTTTACGATACATACCACAATGAATTAAATCGTTTTTGATAAAACAACATATGCAGTGAAATCCATTGAAAATTCATGCCAGTACAAAGACACGGAGAGAGAGAGAGAGGGAAGGAGGGAGAGAGAGAGAGACAGAGACAGAAAGTAAACATAATCGGAAGAAGGAGAACGAAAAATAAGACAAAATAGAAGGTAACAATCGAACATATAATATATCTATGAAAGAGAGCGTCTGGTAATAACACAACTGCAACGTGTCGACAATGGAACGTTGTAGCACGCAGCCACAATACACAAAATAAGGCAGATGCGAAATTCTATTTTCTATGGCATTTCGTCAGTTAACCGATTTCTTCTGTTATTTCAAAATGTGAGCATGTATTGGTTGTGCCGCATAACATAACAAACAAACACATGTAAAACTGCGTAGAATACGTGTGTCGAAACGTTCAATTTAAATTTTATCGTTCTTCCTGTTCTTGCTCGAGTTGAGTTGTGGCGAACGGAAAGTGTCAGAAATACACTGATGTCATTTTTTTGTTTGAGCTATCGATATTTTTTTTATTCAAAAAATTGAACGTTTCCTCTTTGCTGTAACGGAAAAAAGTCATTGAGCTTCACTTGAACATGAAACATTTTTCAAAACTCTTTCGAAACTTAAGATTGTGACATTTTTCTTTTCTCTTTGGATTACTTTTCGATTCTCTTTTTAAATGTTTTTTCTTCTTCTTCTCTTTTCCACTCCGTTCACATTTCACTCTTTCCTTGTCGAACTTGTTTCACTTGAACAAAAACCACAATGCAACGATAATAATATCCTCTTACGTGTTGTGAATTAACATATTTCGAAGACGAAAATAATCTGAATTTTAATGCGATGCAGCACAAAATACAATGGATTCCGAGAAACGAATTAGTCAACGAAAAAAGTCAATATATTTTTTGTTCTGCATTTTAAATGGAATTATTTTAAAATCCGGGGATTTTTGTTTATGTTATTCTTTTTTTCGATAATTTAGCAAAATTTATTTTCTGTATGCTTGTATGTGCAAAAGTGACCGTTGTGTGATTTCAGGTGAATCTGGCAAATGCATTTCAATAAATGTTTGGCTAAAGTGTGTGAACCTCTTGAAATGTCGTCGCTGATCTGGTTTTCACCTTTTAATTCGCTTCAGTGGAATTGCGCAGCTCATCAATTCTA